GATTATGATGGAGTATTATCATGTAACTAGGCCATAGGGCCGATTCTTGTCCACATGACATGAACTCAGTGTAACATTTCGCCAGACAATGTGTTTCCTGCTTCTTTGTTCCTGATGATAACCCAACTTCTCTACTACTTTCATCCTTCAGTCTATCCCCTCTTCTCTGATATTCTCAATCTTCCAGTATGCGTTCCCGACATGCGTACAGTCTCTTGAGTGCACTTGGCTCATTGTTGACATGGCTCTGCATGCACATATTCACCAACTACGGAAATCCATGGGACATCTTCCCAGACCCGATTCGACGAGTATGCATCGCTGTGTTTGCTATAACTGTCGTCGACTACATCTGGACAATCTTGTGGTGGGTTGCATACGAGCCTGTCCCTGCACCGACCGATGAGAGTACGTTCCCAAACGTCACTGTCGTGATACCTGTATACAACGAGTCGTATTTCATTCGTCACTCGTTGCATTCCGTCCTCCAGTCATCTTATCCTAAAGATCGATTAGAGGTTGTTGTAGTAGATGATGGCTCTACAGACGACACATGGAACCACATTACCGCTGCCGCAAATGCATATGCCAGCACTGCAGTTTCCTATCGAACCATTCGACATGAGAAAAATCTTGGCAAGCGATTCGCCATACACTCCGGCTTTTCTCTAGCATCTGGTGATATCATCATCTCCCTGGATTCAGACAGTGTATTGGAACGCAACTCAATATCTCGATTGATAGCACCGTTAGTGCTTGATAGTCGAGTTGGAGGTGTGGCAGGCCATCTGAGTGTCCTAAACGTGGGCCAAAAGACCATTCCCCGATTGCTCGATATGCTGTTCGAGACGAGTGGAAACATTCCTCGAGCAGCACAATCAAAAGCATGTGGCGCTGTCACAATCCTTCCTGGTGCGCTTTCAGCATATCGCACAGTAGCAATCAAACCATTCCTCGCAAGCCTTCGCGAAACCAAGTTCATGGGCACACCAATCAAGCATGGAGAGGATATTGAGATAACTCTCGGATTACTATATGCTGGCTGGAGAACAGTGTACCAGAGTAATGCTGTTGTCCACACCATTGCGCCAGAAGACGCTACTCGAGCGTTCCTGATGTACACGCGTTGGGAACGAAGTTCGTACGTGTACTTGTTGTCAAGCTTCTCTAAGATAACCTGGCCGGCCGTCCTCAGACAGCTGGGTACTCAACTTCTCAACGATATTAAAGTCAACACTAAAAGTCACTTTTATGTTGACATATATGAGGAGGCAGAGCGTCCTCGACATAATCCAATGTCAGACGCTCCGTCAAGGACGAGCATAGGGTGCCTATTTTTGCTCACTAATCTCATCTCAACTGCTGTGGGCAACTGTTTGTTCCCTTTAGTCTTGTACGCTCAGATGTACATGGCCGTCTCTCGCCCTGATGCAATTGTGATAGGGTGTCTCATCACACTATTACTGTCATGCTTTCGTTCTCTTCTCTTTTTCGCTGATTGTAGCGACGATCGAAAAGACCAAGAGAAAGCTGCCGAAGAAGAAGAGGAGAAAGGAATAGGGAGCTTGAACAGGGCGAACACAGCAAAACAGTACCAAACTCTGCTCCAGAAAGATGACATCAACATGGCCCTTCAGTTCATCGAAAGAGATAGGCTTTCGATATTTAGTCGAAAAGCACGGCTTTCTTGGCGGTTACAGTATGGATGGCTCGCTATTCTTTTTCACGCGAGTTTCATTAGCTGGTCATCTATAATCGCATTGCTAACTATCAGAAGTCAAAAATGGCTTACAAGATAAAGCAAGGAATCGAGTGTAGCGTTCTGTAGAGTAGTGATGATAGCAATTAGATCCTTTGGGCAGCCTATAACATGTCTAACTAATCGGAGCCACACCTACGGATTTCTTGCATCTTGAGATATCATGGCTGCGCACAGTGTTACTCCATTCCATTTCAATGTAAGTTTCAACTATTTCGACATGAGATATTCGTCGTCTTTCTTTTCTCCTATTGAAACTTTTTTACATGTACGGGAAGTTTGTAATCAGTATAGATGAGACTACTGCCAGCGTCGCGTTCCCAGATGAATCCGTCCCGATCTAGCAGCTCGAAGTCATATCTCCATAGCAATGTTGCCATGATGAGCCGTATGCTCTGTTGAGCCATATGTCTACCAATGCACGCTCGGCTTCCAATCAAGAATGGACGGCTGGCAGACTTGTTATCTCCATTGAACCCGTTCTTGTCCGCGTCCTCTAACCATCTTTCTGGGTGGAAGCGAGCTGGGTTAACGAAATACTTTGGCGATCTTTGGATCGTGTACAAGTCAGCCGAAACAATGGTGCCTGCTGGTATGTATGTGTCTGTTATAGTACACGAAGGGGCGGTGCGTTGCGCTGTTTTACCGTTTGCGGGCGGGAGCAAGCGCAAGGTCTCGCGGATGCAGGCATTAAGAAATGGCAGACGTGCAAGTCTTTCACCTGTGATATCGGCTTCATTGCTGAATACAGAACGTATCTCGATGCAAAGAGTTTTGTAAGCGTCTGGGTAGCGCAGGACGTGATAGAATGTGGAAGCTAATGTAGTAGCGGTAGTTTGGTACCCTGCGAGTCTTGGGGCTATCAGTAAAGCATCTGTTATGAGTGGGCAAGATGCGACAGACGTCAAACCCATTGCGTTGCTAAAGAATGCATCCGCGTCTAGCGTCAAGCCTTGCTTTTCGCTACCCATGATGGCCGAAAGGAAGTCCTCCCTACCATCTTTCCTCTCAATGCAACTAGAAAGATGTCAGCATGTTAGCATATAGATTCCCATTGAGTTCACTTACTCGCGTAGCTTTTTGGATGGCACAAGCTTTGAAAGCTGGGAGGACATTGGCATCGCTGAAAGGAGACTTCTAGCCATCTCCAGTGCCGGGGCTACGCCGGGCATGACGAGCATGAAGCTTAAGGCTTCCACCATAGGCATCGATCCTTTACCTAACTGCTTCAGTGTTTCGTATGTTGCTTTGGAAAAGGTCAGTCTACGATTGCTCCATTAGACTCCTTTGCGTACTACTTACGGCGTTTTCCAGCCATCAACGGCTCCCCAAAAGCAAGGTCGCCAATTATCTCCCAGAACATTGTTTCTAATTTGTCTGCAAGATCTATACTGTAACCTTTCTCAGCAGTTTCGTCGAAATCAGGGATAGACTTCTCGATGTGCAGCTTCTGGATTGGCTCCTGGCTTGCCAGTGCTTGAGGTGTGAAAGCCTGCTGAATGACTCTGTGAAGTCTCTTATGAAGCGCTGGATCCGGAATCGTGATTAGAGTAGGAGCGTTCAAGACGAGGTCAGAGAAAAGAGTCAAGAACGTTCCAGCTTTGGAAAAACGTCCATCTTCTTGATTTGCATATATCGCTGTTTCTGCTTCGAGGGTCGCAAAAGATACTTCGTTTGGTGCCACTCGTACAACAGGTCCTACTTAAGATTAGCCTAGCAATCTGAGCAATGACCGCCTCAAGGGATCTTGCCATATTTCTCATGAAGAGCCTGAAGTTCCGAATTGAATTTCATACGATACAAAGCTCTCATACCCCATATCTTTCTTACTCAGGATTTTTGCAAACTATGTGATCATAAGAAACCCACCGGAGAGAACTTGGCCAGGAAGGGACCTGGAACGTGGGAAAGTGGGTGTAGGTAGCACCCATAGACTACAGTTGATGTCAAAATGAAGATAGACTACAAGAATCAGATTGTTAGCAATACGTCTCGAGCGATCTGAATGATGGGAGTGCAAGAACCTACAATGGCTGCTGCTGCACCAATCTGCTGGCCTACGCTCAATTCCTGTAAGAGAGAAATTACTGCCATAGTGACTATCGTAATCCTCGGACTGGAGCTCGGCTCTGGTGTTGAGGAATCGTTTGTCGTTCCATGGGATAAATGATTAATTGGATTGCATCCTGCATAGCTGACCGAGTGCCCTACTTACATGCCAAGGCGGGCCCCGGCCAAGGTTTGCTCGGTTCGCTGTCTTCTAGTTTCGGATCATGGAGCCTCACTAAGTTAAAGTGCGCGTTATCATTCGAGACGCGAGTTGGTGGCGCAGACGCATGCATGATCCTCCTGCCGGAGGGTCAATAATCACCGTTGCCTATCATCCGGACAGCGACGCTAAAGCAGCTCGCTCCTTCCAGAAAAACGGCTGCTCGACAGTAGCGTAGGATTCATGGGCGCCAACGCGTGGGGGAGCGGATGGGAAATCGGACCCTTGCTCCGCCGCTCTGCATGCGCGCCCTTGTACACTAACGTAGCTAATGCCCTACTTCTGTGCATCCGCAATAACAATACCGCCCATATACGGATGTATTGCTCCAGTGATAAGAAACCTCAGATGAGAAATTAAAGTCATATACTGGCTGCCTCGAACTGCTTGGTATCGTATGCAGGATACGTCCACTCCACTAAACAGCACGCGTTAGATAGCTGCCATGTAAGCGACAAGTGAAGGATTCTACCAGTTGCTCCACTAAAAAAGATCCTCCCAAAGGATTTCGGACAGCGGGTTATATTGTTGGCGGAAAAACACGGCCCACTCACATACATAACATACAGTAAGCGCTTCTTGAAGTAAGACTAGTAAGATTTCGTGCTAAAGCAGTCCAACATGCACCCGCGATGCACCAGACTATGGGGCTGAATCAGTAGATACAGACACATGCACTGCGGATAGGAACGCTCGTTGGTTGGCACCAAGAGCGCACGAATAAGCCGTTCACAAAGTCCCAACAATTAACGTTACAAAAAACACTTCTCCCAATGTGATGGGTGCTGTGCCCAGGCTGAGTGCAGCGCTAGACAGAGGATGAGTTGACAAATTAGAGAAAATTGAATAGATGATCACATGTTTTCATCCCAAGCGGACTACGTACAAATGCTTTCGTTCGATGCTTCGTACAGCCAACCACTATCTCCACGTCTAATCTTTTAGCCATCTTTTTTGAAAGATAATCGCAAAATGGAGCAGCTTTCATATCAGTCCAAACTGATTTGCTCCGAGGAGTCTCAAAAGACTGGATGCTTCACAACACTCCCTATCCGTATCCATCCTCGAGATGACTTAGCGGATGCAGCAAGTCGCCGTTTTGTACAAGACTGGGCCAGAGAGATGAGAGATGGCCGCGAACAGTCTACTCATTTCTCATTCTCACCGGTGGGAAACTGGTCGTCCTTGATCTATCCCGAAGCGATCCCAGAACGGTTGGGGGTCTTGGCCTATCTGTCCGACTTGGGTTTGATTCATGATGGTATTTGGATGTACTCCAGGTTATCTCGGCAATTCTAACGTGTATCTAGACGGTGGTGAAGGCTTGAGCATTGAAGACGCGCAAACCGAGCATGGTGAACTCTGCGCTGCTCTAGATCCTAGTGATATCAGCAGCGCTGCGCCAGGTTCAAGGGCGATGAAAACCAAGAAGCTTGTTTCCCAGTGTATGCTTGAGTGTATTAACCTTGACCGAGAATTGGGCTTGAAGATGCTCGCGGCGTTCCGCGACGTGTGGCTCGCTATTAGCGAGAGGAACAGCGACAAGGAAGCGCGAACTATGGAAGAATATTTGAAATATCGAAGCGATAATGGCGGAATGCTGTAAGTGACTCAGTCGTGCTGTTGTAAAACCTTGGCTAATATTTGACAGAGTCTTCTGGCCAATGCTCCAGTTCAGCCTCGGAGTGTCCATATCGGAAGCAGAAGAAGCGCTCGTACAGCCAATTATTGACGCAGCGACTGAAGGACTTCTCCTAGCAAATGATTACTTCAGCTGGGAACGTGAGTATAGAGAACTCCAATCCGGTCAATCGAAGAGAATAGTCAGTGCTGTTGACCTGTTTATCAGGACGAAGGGACTCTCAATCGACCATGCAAAAGAGGAGGTCAAACGCATGATCATCGCCGCTGAGCGCAATTTCTGTCAGCGTCGTGATGATCTTTGCAGGAAGCATCCTGACATATCATTGAAGTTGAGACGTTGGATTGACTGCGCTGGGCTAGCTGTCTCGGGAAATCATTACTGGTGCTCGGCTTGCCCCAGACAGAATGCGTGGAAGGATATGACTCCCCAAAGTCATAACGGTGCCAAAAGAAAAACTTCGCATGGCGCAGCGATCAGTATGCAGGAAGCACCCTTCAAGAAGAGAAAAGACTCGAGCTTCTTTGGCTCTCAGCCTAGTGATGATGAGTCTTCACTCTCAGAGGTATCAAGCTACCCGTTTTACAAGCCGTCGGCACTTGCACTGGAGGCACCTTCAAAGTACGTTTCCAATATGCCTTCAAAAGGCGTCCGGAGTGCGCTCATCGAAGCTCTCAACGCATGGCTTCACGTGCCGTCTGAACGGCTAGAATCGATCATGTCTGTCATCAACACGTTGCACAATGCTTCACTCATCCTTGACGACCTAGAGGATAACTCACCACTACGAAGAGGCTATCCAGCGACACATATCTTATTTGGGCAGTCCCAATCAATCAACACCGCAAACTTTATGTTCGTACGCGCTGTGCAGGAAGTCGCGCAGAAGCTAAGCCCAAATGCCTTGGTTGCAGTCCTTGAAGAACTCGAGGGCCTGTATTTAGGCCAGAGCTGGGATCTGTACTGGAAACACAACCTCGCATGTCCAAGTGAAGCCGAGTACGTCAATATGATCGACCACAAGACTGGTGGTATGTTTCGCATGTTGCTTCGGATCATGCAGGTAGAGAGCGAGGTGACACCGCAGGTGGATTTCCACAGACTGACACTATTGTTCGGCCGATTTTTCCAGATTCGCGACGACTACATGAACTTCCAAGATTACACGGCGCAGAAAGGGTATTGCGAAGATCTCGACGAAGGCAAATTCTCGTACCCAGTCGTCTACTGTTTGGAAAATTATCCGGAATACCGTGGCCATTTTCTTGGCATATTCCGACAACGGCCTACGGTTGCGACCGCCAACGCATGTCCCTTGTCGGGGGAGAGTAAGCAGTATCTGACTGCCTGCCTGAAAAAGAGTGGAGCGTTCGATAAGACGATTGCTTGCTTGACGGATATGGAACGCGACTTGGAATTCGAGATTAACCGGCTGGAGCAACAAACGGGTGAGACGAACCCAATGCTGCGCTTGTGCCTCGCAAAGCTCAGTGTCAAAGGAATTGGAAGGATTAGCGAGGTAAGCCCTAGCAAATGATCGTCCGGGGGGCTTGCAATACGGCTAGCCACACCCGTCTGACCCCCTGCGGGCCGTTTCGCCCAAGCGCGCTAATAATGGGTCATACGAATTGGGAACGAATCCTACGTTATCATCTCTCTTTTCAATCATGATTAGAAACCTAGACCAATGAAACATCTTCTTGATGATGGATACCATATACATCGGTGATAAACCCTTACTATCGTATGCATGTATAAGCACAGTGCGTGCATCTTCCAACGCCTAGCCCGTCGAAGCGGGTATCTTGGGAACCGGTGCAGGGAGTCCTTCGCAACTTATGTCATCTCGCAACAACAGTCCCGCTGTAGTCTAGGGACGTCTCTTAGCTCTGCATAGTTCTACAATCGTTTTATTCTAACCAGCAGTTGGGTGGCCTTACATGTTTGGTATCCAGGATATCTTATTCCCAGCACTGGTGCCCGACTTGGTGACTCAAATTCCTTGTTCTTCATTATTGGTTATACGGAAATGCGGCGACTATCAACCCTATCTTGGCTACACGCCATACATGCTTCCATTGGCATCAGCGAAGCCATGACAGCAGATTACGGGTCTTGCCACGATGCAGTGTGTTTAAGATAAGTGTTCGGCCTAATAGAGCCAGTTTCTAACACAAGTAGTGTATTCTTCTTTCCGGAACACTTTCTGTTGAGTTGGGTGGTGGTCATGTGTCCGATCACGCGCATTATCCCGCAGTTGCAAATGGATCCTCTGTGGCATCGCTCTTTTGGGCACAGCAACAGCAATCTGCCCAACCAGTCTGTCTTGTTCATGTCTACTCTCCTCAAGACGTTGCCACCGTCATATCTGTCTCCCGCAGCACGAATTGCCCATTTGCTGTTCGTGGTGGCGGGCACTCAGACATTCCTGGTGCAAGCAACATCAATGGCGGCATCACTGTCAATATGGCAGGGCTAAGGAATGTCGAATTGCACGAGAGTGACGGCATGGTCAGAGTCGGTGCAGGAGCTAAATGGGGCGACGTTTACAAACAACTTGAGAAATCAAACAAAACAGTCGTGGGTGGCCGACTCACTGGAGTTGGTGTTGGCGGACTGTCGTTGGGTGGAGGACTTAGCCACTTTTCCGGTCTGCATGGCTGGGCTTGTGACAATGTCCGTAATTACGAGGTAGTAACATGGATGCCGCAAATGAAGCGCAAACTGATGTCAATCCAGGTGGTTCTTGCAAATGGTAGTCTTGTCATTGCTTCCAACTCGTCAAACTCAGACCTCTACCGCGCTCTGCGCGGCGGCGGAAACAGCTTTGGCGTTGTCACTCATTTCGACCTTGACATGTTCCAGCAGGGTCCTATGTGGGGAGGACTACATGTGTGGCCATTCCAGCCATCGGTAACATCCGCTCTTACTCATGGTTTTGTCAAGTTTGCACAGAACGCTCCCTCCGATCCACATGTATCACTGTTCGCTGGCTTGGGTTATAAGCAAGGAAGCTTTGCCTGGGCTTTAGGGCAGTATGATGCTCTAGGAAGGTCTGAGCCTTCTATCTTTACCCAGTTCAAGGATGATGTGGAGGTGTATGGTACAGCGAAGATTGTTAGCACAGCCAGAGTGACTTCGTTGTCGGACCTCGCGGATGAGCTAAATCAGTCAGAGCCTGCTGGCATACGAAGCCGTTTTACAACGGCAACTTTTACCGCCGATGCAGGACTCTTAATCCTAATGGTAAAGATCTTCGAAGAGCAAGTTCAAAAGGCGTTAGATAATGGTCTGCATAAGGACCAGCGATTTGCGCCAATGCTCGGAATCCAACCATTGACACAAAACCTTTTGAGAGCTCAAGCGAAACGGGGAGGGAATATCATGGGTCTCCGTGATTCTGAAGCACCTTTGGTTGGTAAGTATCGCCAAACATTCGTCTTCCGGCGGCGCTGACAGTCGTCACTCAACAGTCTGTTCTTTCGGATGGGAATGGTCTTATGGATCTGATGACAAAGTGGTCATCGACGGTATCAAAGCGGTACTGGAGCATTCTATTTCAGCTGCTAAGGAAAGAGGCCTGTATCACCCTTTCAAGTACATGAACTACGCTGCATTAGACCAAAATCCTATCGAAAGCTACGGAAAGGATAACATCGAGTTTTTGAAGAGGGTACGGGCGATGTATGACCCTGAAGGAGTGTTCACTTATCTGTTACCTGGGGGGCACAAGATCAGTTGATTTGCTATCAGTGTCCAAAAAGCATCCTCCGCGAAAAATGGGAAAGGTGAAGAAGCATGCAAAAGTTTATCTTTCGAAATATTGTGTCATAGCCTGGAAAATGCTATCGTTCGCCTAGGACTCTGAAATTCAAGATAGCATACGTAGGAGAGAATGGAAGCACCGGAAAAGAGGTCACAAGACCATTTTTAACGCAGTCATCCACGAACCCTGCGCCTAGTGAAGTCAGAACGAAAAATGTCCACATGTAGCCCAAGAGACGCCATTTTTTGTTCCGCCATCCAAACTGTTTTTGAGCAAAGGAGATAGTCAGGTCCTCTAGCAACATGAAAGTCGGCATCAATGCGAAGAAGACCAGGGTTTTCGCAAAACTCTGTGACGGAAGGACCATCTTTGCAGCTACCCAGTGATATAGGCCAGAAATAGCAAATGCCATGTAGGACTGGACTTGACGACTCAGCAATGTGCCTTTCGGAGTACACACGATGTGCCTGGCAATAAAGCGACTTGGGATTTGGAGTGCTCTGCGGAAGTTTTGGTGCCATGTGCAATTCCAGAAACTGTTCAAAGTGTAGCATGTAACCCATGGACCTTTCAGAGGATGAGCCTCTTCGATAACATTCCAGAAAAGGCCAGACATGACACCGACCAAACACACAATGTGGTAGACAATGTCCATGGGCGCAATTGTTGATGCCCACCAGCAACCGGTCGCCAAACTTCGCAGAGCGAAATCCATGTCGAGTATACTCTTTCGTCCTCCTTCGGTTAACCAAAGAAGAAGGGCTGCTGCAATATCGTGAATGGCATACTGCTCCAAAATTGTTTTCACCGATAATTTCAAAAAGGACGTCTTGGATAAGCCCGCTGGAGGGGCTGACGGAAGACGTGCAGTGCCCCAATTCCAACCGATTCCCCGGGTTGAATAGGCATTACTAAGACACCACCGAATCCTCTCGGGTGAAGAAAGCAGGCTGAAATTCTGGAAAGTTCTCTCTCCATTGCTATTCATCCTAGTTCGTATATGCTCCACGTATGGATCTTCTAAAACAAGCAGATTGAAGTTCGTCAAGCCGACGTAAAAGACTGCACAATGGCATTGTCAGCAGCTATGACCAACTAAGATTATAGTGTGATCTAACCTGTACCAAACGTATAGTTCTTGGCTGTATCAGACCCGTAGGGAATGAACAAAACAAGAAGGAGGCATAAAGCCAAAAAGGGAAGTAAAAGCATCCAGCGGAGGCCTCGCTGCATGCTAGAGCCTAACAAGAGTAGAAAGGGTGTCGAGAGCCACATAAAGCCCACAAAATCAGCTCGCTCCATAGCCATCGGGGTTTGGATAAATTCGAGCACGAATTGCCGTGAGAGTGACGAAGCTAGATGGATACCTGACGCAAGCAAATGCTACTTGGGTCGATTGCATACATATGTACCGGACATGGAATTTCCCATCAGCGTTAGCCTAGCGAGCTTACTACAACGTACTTCACCTGCCGGGGTGGCGCATGCAACCGCCGCATTAGCGGCCCATTCGTTCCCCGATCCCTGCAACTGGCCTTACAGTATACTACTGCATGTAATGCGTTTAATTAGTAAATCCTTCTCGGGCGCAAACAATGCGGCAGGATACGCGCCACCAACTCTCGCGGTGCTGCCATTTTATCCAAGCGCCTATATTTCGATTGCAGACACATTCACTTCCATCTCGCTTGTTGTCATCATTCAATATCATAGAAACTTTTCGAAATGGCGATATTGAGCTCTGCGCTTGTAACGATAGACCTACCGGTGACCTTGCTGTCTCTGCTTATAGGCTCTATCCTTTACTTCTGCTATGTTACAGTGTATCGCCTTTTTCTAAGTCCGATTGCGCACTTCCCGGGACCTAAGCTTGCGGCATGGACCTATTGGTACGAGTTCTGGTACGATGTCATCGCTGAACCGGAATATACCTTCAAGATCGGCCGGCTTCACAAGATATATGGTATGTATCTACGCTGGTCCAAATCCTAGCGAGCTGCACTAACTGCCGTGGAGGACCCGTCGTCCGGATCAACCCAGACGAAATACACATCGCAGATCCAGAGTTCTATGACACGATTTATGCTGGCAGTGGACGCAAGCGCGACAAGTGGGATTGGATCACCAGATCTTTTGGTGTCGATGAGAGCTTGATCGGCACACTCAATCACGATGAGCATCGTGTCCGCAGGGCGTCTCTTTCGCCGTATTTCTCCAAGCAGAGCGTACGAGCACTGCAGCCGCTGATAGATCGAAACATGACAATTCTGCTGGAGCGTCTTCGCGAGTTTGCCAAATCTGGTTCACCACTAAAGCTGGATGATGCTTACGCTGCACTGACTAATGGTGAGACACCCTTCTTGAATCTATAGATAGGACATTGATTTTAATATTGCTTTCTAGACATTGTTGAGGACTATGCCTTCGGGAGAAGCGACCACCGACTAGAGGCTCCAGACTTTGACCCGTCATTCAGGGATGCTATGCTGCAGGGCGGCAAAGCCGGGCATGTACTGAAGCATTTCACATGGTTGATGGATTTGCTGAAGAAGCTGCCTGAATCACTGCTGCTAAAATTGAGCCCTGCAATGGGCGCGTACTCGCAGCTTCAGAACAGCGTGAAGCGTCAAGTCGCCGAGATACAGCACGCACATCAGATGCACACCTACGACAAGACACGCCGTACCATCTTTCACGAGATTCTCAATAGCAAGCTCTCGGATTATGATAAATCTACAGATCGTCTCTGGCAAGAAGGGGAAGTGGTTGTTGCTGCTGGAACTATCACTACTGCCTGGGCGCTGGGCGTGTCGACGTACTTTGTGCTCGCCACCCCAGAGATTCTGCGTCAGCTCAAGACTGAGTTGGAAGCTGCAATCCCCGATCCCTCACAACCACTCAATCTTATCGCGCTCGAGGCTCTTCCATTCCTTACTGGCGTGGTCCAAGAAGGCGTGCGCCTAAGCCACGCCATCTCACACCGCTTGCACCGCATCTGCCCTGATGAGACACTCGTCTACCAGGACAATGACAACCAGCGCGAATGGCGAATCCCGCCTGGAACACCTCTGAGCATGACTAGCAACTTGGTTCATCATGATGAACGTGTCTTCCCAGACTCGCACGCGTTCAAGCCCGAGCGCTGGATCGATAACGCCCGCCTCGAACGTTATCTGGTGTCGTTTGGAAAGGGTGGAAGAGCGTGTCTAGGCATCAATCTTGCTTATGCAGAGCTCTATCTTACATTGGCAGCGCTCTTCAGGGTGTACGGCACTGATCAGATCAAGGGGAAGGATGACGTTGGGACGTTGCAGTTATTTGAGACGAGCGCTGCTGACTTGGTGATTACAAGTGATACTGTTGTCCCTGTCATGCCCGAGGACTCCAAGGGATTAAGAGTAAAGGTCTCTTAGACTATCCATTATTACTGAAATAGCTGTTATACATGAAAGAGGGTCGTGGTCCTAACGATCTAAACGCCAGAATCGTCTTGAATAATACTTGCGCTCCTTTGGAAGCCCCCCCAGTTACTGCAACCTTGCTGCACTTGATCTGCGTGAGTTATATTCACGATTTTGTCATATTGTTCGACAAACTGCAAAGCAAATCCCTCCGAGGTGTGCCAACCTATGTGGCAATGCATCAGCCAGGCCCCGGGATTATCGATCTCGAACGCCAGCACAAGGTACCCAGAGGCAGGGAGCATTGCTGTATCTCTTCTTGGAGGATTTTCCAGTTGCAGAGCTACTTCAGACGAATAGGCACCGGATCCTTGTGCTAAGACAAAGAAATCGTGTCCGTGAAGGTGTATAGGATGCGGAACAGGTAGGGCAGTCTCAATTATGACATATACCCATTCCCCAGCGTTGGGTAGCTCAATCACAGCATTTGATTCTGTAAAAGAGGTCTCTCCGTCCAGTATCTGTAGTAACGTCGGATCTGCCCAACTTGCCACCATGGACGTAGAGTTCAGGTACCAGCGGAAGAGACCTTCGGAGTTAGAGCCAACAGTTGCAATCTCAGCCTTTTTACTGTTTGGTTCTGAAACTGTTTTCGCAACATAAGGTATAAGGTTGTCTGTTTCATCGCCACAGCTGTCCGTATAGTTGTAGGCTGATGAAGAGGGTATAGAGGGCGAAGAACCGTAATAAACGATACCGCGGATGTCATTCGCATTTTCGACATCTAAAAATCATTAGCGGATCACTAGTACAGTCGATTTACTGAAAATACTCACCAGAGCAGGCGGACTGAGGAATGGCACGCATCCAAAAGTTTTCCGCAGTAGATGCCTGATTGGCTGTGACAATAATCTGTAGACACTCAGTTTCTTGCTGCACACCTTGGTAGACTGGGCTTTGACTCACATCGTAACGTTGACCCATGCCAATATCCAAGACTGTCGTGTTGTACGGCTGGATAGGTACCAAGTCAGATGCAATCACAGTCATTGTGTGGTTATCTATCATGAACTTGAAATGGGTATCAACAGCACCATTCACCAGGCGTATCCTGTACGATGAACCTTCAGTGAAAGATACATTGTAACGATGACCACCATCTTCGTAGATATTTGTGCCGTTGATTAAAGCATTGTCGAGAGTCGGCGGCCCACTGCTCTGAGCAGACATGTAAAGCTCATCGACTGTCTATATCATCATCAGTATACACTACATTGGCCCAAGCAATACTGAAAAGCTGAGAATGCTCACCTGATGATCCCAGTCGTTGAGAAATAGCATCCCCAAATCCTCATCATAATTGGCCGTCGCTGGTCCGTTGATAATGAGCCCGCCGAAGATACCTTGCCAAGCTTGAAGTGCAAAATGCGAGTGATACCAAGTGCTCCCGTACTGCATCGCTCGCCATGTGTAAGTCATCGAGCTTCCCGGGGCAGTGGGGCATTGTGTTATAGATGAGACTCCATCCTGATCGTTTGTACCGTTTTGCCGGATGCCGTGCCAATGGATACTCGTTCCATTCTGGGAGTCTTCGAGTCTGTTGTTGACGTGTACAACTACCGTATCGCCCCAGTCGGCAAACAATGTTGGACCAGGGATGGTTCCGTTCACAGCCATGGCTGTTCGGGAAACTCCATCGGGTGCAACCGTTACTTCCGTCAAATCGAGCCAATATTCTCGGGTTACTCCTGTATCAGGGACAACTAGATATCGTTGCGATTAGAGTTATGTCATTCTTCGTTGTCGATGAGAGGCCTACTTGTTGCATAGTCCGTATCTACGGAATAGTCGCACCATGTTGAACGAGACGTAGCAGAATTGCCAGAGCAAGCTGCTCGTTCAGTTAAAAAGAGACTATGCGAACGACGGTGATGCGCTTGCAGGTCATTGCGGACACTGAGGGCTGAAACGTAGGCGATTAGCCAGCCGGTACTGAAGCCACTTAGGAAGCGCATTTCGTAGATGATGCGACGAGGAACTCAAGTCAAAACCTTTATAATCTGAAGGATTCAGAGACTCATGGAAAAAGTATGGACATGAGAAGTGGTAATGAAGATGGTCTTTAAGCTTGATGTCCAAGCTATGGCCAAGACAAACTCAGCATCTAGCTCATATTTCGTGTTGAGCTTCGTTGCTATCATCCAATGCTATTTCAGGTGGAAGATAAGATTCGTCATCACCAAATCTACTACACCTGGTTGAGTCTTTGCCAGCAACGCGACGCATAAGCAAACACTGCGATGTCGAGTCAGAGCGAGGTACCTGTGCCAAGCACTTGTCGAAGCTTTCGATAGTTTCAGTCATTGCCCCTAATACTGTTGCTTGTATTGTTGATTCCTGTTTCGCGTCTAGTGCATCAGATAACTGTTTCCCAGAAAAAAATGTTGAGCCACACCCTTACCTCGCGGAATCGGGCATCGATAATGACCCCTAGTATGTATACCACGAAGACCTATGTAACTGTAGCGGGAGCAACCGGTATTTTTCCACTATGAGTATAGGCCTGATCATGTATGTGGGTCACTAACCTGGCTTCGTTTCAGCAAGCAAGATCCAAGTTAGCGGGTCCACTAACTAAGGGGAAAATACAGGGTAGTCAGGCAAGGAACTATTATTTATGGAAGGGATACCACACTAAGAACTAAATGCGGTATAGATTTCCTCGAAGTAGTTCCAACCGCTGATACCTTAGTGTTTCCACATATAAAACTTTTGCCTTGCACGATAATCAATCTATCTTCAGATCTCCCTGACTCGGTGCACAGGCCGTCTAGATAGTGATCCATGTCTAAATGAGAATGACTGCGCCCAGTTGATGACGACGACGCATGCTTGCGTAGGAAACAAGCATGATGTTAATTTTTCAAGTTATAGAATCAAATCTTATCCAACACACAAGATCGTTAAAGAGGACACCCATCGTGTGGCAACTCCTTGAAAACAGTTCGTGTCACTAGACTACCAATTCAGGAGAAAAATTGTTCACTATGTTGACTTTCAAGTCCCTCGCACTTCTTTCTACACTGCCATGTGTTGTGTTGGGTGGAAAAAACCGCCAGGGATCGCAGAACTTCACTCTGTATGGATACAGTCGTCAATTTGGTGGAAATCCTTTGGTCTTTATGGACGGTAAACAACCTACACAAATTATATCGATTACAGGAAACGATCTGACCAATCGAAGGGTATGCATATCTTGTAGATGTAGATGAGCTTAACGTTACCAATCCTACAATTGTGCGATGTAAGTACACATTGCCGAGGCTCATTGGCAATCTACACAATGTTGACATATCTCTAGTTACATCTGATTCCAAAAACGAATGGTTCGCTTCACCGAACACAACTACATCAGTGGAGTCACCATGGCTGAACACAACATTTTCCGTTCCAACACCCCAAACCTCCGATCGTCGTGTAGGCTTCATCAATGGCAACTCAACATCTGGGAACAGAATTACCTCTGGCTTTCGGCTCTTTGGCTCATTGGCGACACTTGTTACATCTGATGGCGAGTTAGAGTCTTTGTGGACTGGGCTTGATGTTGGACGGCATTTGTATGCGTTATATTGGAACGATACGAGCTTGGGTCAAATTCCGATTACTTTGACCGCTGTTGCCCCTTCTAATTTGTCGGACTAGGCAGGACGACTGGAGTTTATATGATAGACTGCTCTCCCAAAACTGCAGCTCTACTGGAAGAAAGATATTTATTCACTTTGGTACTGTACTAAATATAACAAAGGCTTTAACTTTGACCTATGTCCCAATCCTATAACATATGAGAAAGTTAATTAACAAATAGCTCTTGAGCCCGACTGGCAGCTACTCAGCATCAAGAATGACACTGTGCATGACTGATCGACCACATGTTCTCTGCCGTTGGGTTTTAGTGTTGAGTCATTGCATGTGGCTCCTCCAATGCGACAATCAGATTGACTGGCTATGCATTGCATGACCGCCAAACCATTCAGAGCTTTCGCGTTCACGTCGCATCCACATTAAACTAGTTGTAAAATTCGGTTGTATCCTTGCGTTTCCAAGCGCCATAGGAACTCAGAATAGCTGTGTTGTAGTGTGTGGTTATGAAAGAAAATCCAGAGTGCGTGTAAACCTCAAGGGGTGAATGAGACTGAGTCAGCCAACGTACGTATGTAGGGGGCTAGGTATGGTGGCTGACTCGTTAGCGCGTGCCAAGAAATAATCGCATTGTGCAGCGGCTCCACCAGGCATCCTCCAGCCACCCACCACTACCACCACCACCACCACGCCCACTCATCACTACCGACATCGCCTCCATCGCCGCACACTCTCCATTCCACCTACATGTCACCTGCGATCCAAACCTCAACCGAAACCCTTTCGCAATTCCCACTCAGACGCCGGTGATCACGGCGCGCTTCGACCTTAGCTTCACGCGCTGGCCCGTCCAGCCCTGCTTCCTATCCTCTCTTGGTTATTCTTTCACTTGTCGCTCGTCCTCGCCGTTCACCAACACAACCTAGACTGATACTCCGGCCACCATCCTTGCGAATCTCACAAGGCCTCGGGACGTTGGCAATCACAGCACGTTTCGGTCTCGACCCACGTGTTGGCTTGTCAACAACCTGAGGGGTGGTTCGCAGCCAGACAGGTGTATTATGCATGGTGTATCGTCAGACACGTCAGGAAATCATCGGCTGAGTCAGGGCTGCTCTGTACAAAAGCTCGGGTGGGAGGGCATCTTGCTTCAACGCGTTTTGTTGCAAGGGCGTAACGTTGTAAGTGCATAGTTTTTTTAGTGTTGGAGAGCTGTCTGGGCAGATAGACCAGATACGGTAAATACAGTATGACATATAATCTACTGCGCAAGGGCGGCATTCCTGCACTGGCGTGCAACGCTTCTCCATCCGGAGATGCCTCATTCCTGCAATGCACTTTTCAAGTCAAGTATGACAACGACCGCCTCTTTG